GAGTTGCTATAAGGCGCACGGGGTCATTTGACTTATAGACATCCCAAGACGATGACGGTATAGAACAATGATCTCTGGAATCGGAAACCACAAACTACATTGCATCAAAAACGCGTAGTAGCACGTGAAAAAGCCATCGGACGCATCTTTTTCACTCTCTCCAGCTAATGGAAGGCGAAACTCTACCGCATCCGGAACTTGGCAAAACTCCCGAATGGATCCGAGACCATTGGGACAGGCCAAACTCGGGCATCCGGCAATACGGTTAGCACGGAACGTAGGCGGAACCCAGGTTCCTGGTTTGGTTAGCCTCGTTTCGCCTCCAGCCACCCAATACGCTTCGACGTCTTCTGAATCGACCAATGGTAGTGAAAATCCTTCCTTCGGAACTACGACATGAGATTGCGAGTTTGCTCATTCGGAGCCAAAACTATCAGAATTTGTTTCAGAACGAGTTCTCCTCTTCGAAAACATGTTTAGTAAAAGAAAGAAAGAAAGATTCAAAGAGAAAGGAGAAGAGAAAACTTCTTGAACCTTAGAAAAGTTGTGTGGAAAGAAGTGAGTAAAGAATTTGGAAATTTAATCCACATACTTATAAGAAAAGTTTTACTATTCACCTTTAGACTTTTGGCCATTAAAGTTCCGCCTAATTCTACCAAACTTGCCGAACAAGTTCAAACCGCTCGCAAGAACTCTACGATTCTTACGAACTGGGGGGCTAACTGTTGGGGTCAAAATCCGTACGACGGAATCAATGACCAAAACTTTCCACAAAAATAAAAATACGCTTTATAAAACACGAGAAGTTGTTTTATAAAATTCTAAAGACTTTCCGAACAAAGGAAATCCGCGCGAAACTTGGAAATTATCATCTCGGAAAAACGAACGAAACAATCTCCGCACTACAAGAAATATGGATATTGTTAGCACGGGTTATATGTTATATTAGATGTTTGATAGCGTTTTCATAAATGCTATGTATACGGAAGCCATCATAAATACCCCTTCTACGATAGCATTTTTTTAACGCAAAAAAATATACAGATACGATAGTATTACTCGTATGATATTATAAGTTTAGTTATTAGCACTAATTTCATGCTATTATAGGTAGTTCGACAACTAAAAAAAATTATAATTACAAAATTGAAAATAAAACTAATTTTTTTTAATAATTAAAAATAAAATAAATTTTATTTATAAATTAAATTTAATTTACAATAAATTTTGGTTTACAAAACTAAACCAATAATACATAAATATATTATTCTAATTTTAACTAAACCAATTAACTAAGTAAACCTAACTAAACCAATTGATTAACTAAACCTAAACCTAAACCTAATCTTCAGCCACCATCCCACCTTCGCAAAGCTTCAGCCGCCATCACCACCTTCGCAAAGCTTAAGCCACCGTCCACGAACCACCAACAACCACCGGATTTTGCACCACATCCGCACCACGCTTAACCGGACTTGCCGCCTTGTCACACCACTACTTATCCTTTCTATTTCATGACTGCTCCATCTCAGATCTGTAAAAAAAAAAAACCGATTAGAGGAGAAGATAGAAAGATGAGAGGAGAAGAGAGACAAACTGACAGAGAGGTGACCTGTGGAGATGGTGACGAGCGTGACGGTAGTGATGGTGGTGAAGAACGCCTCTTGTGCATCCTCCAGTCACCTCGTCTTGTCAAGCCTCTTGTGCATCCTCCAGCTTCCTTTACAAAAAAACAGAGAGAAAGATCCGTGGAAAGAGAGAGAGAGATGGCGGGTGGTGGTGGTGAGGAGGTCAACGTGATGGTGAGAGAGAGAGATGGCGGGTGGTGGTGGTGGTGGTGGTGGTGAGAGAGAGATGGCGGGTGGGGGTGGTGAGAAGGAGACGTGAGAGAGAGATATTTGTGTTTTAGGTTAAGAATTGTTATCCTTGTAATATAAAAACTGACCAATAAGAAAGAAGGTAGAGGATAACCAAATGATGGATTTGTAACCCTTGGATTAAAATTACTGATGGATTTCTAACCCTTGGATTAAAACAATTAATGCTTAGTAATTTATTTTTTATGGTTAAAGTATATTTATATTGAACTGTATTTTATTGATAAAATATTAAACTTGTATGTTTGATACAAATTTGAAAAGTTTTAAATTTAGATTTTATAGTTATAAAAGAAAATTATGATTAAGAGTAAATTTTAGATTTATGATCTAAGATTTGAATGTTGGAATATGAATGGTATGATTTAAGATTTTGGATTAGAGTATGAAAATATTAAATTTGAATATTAGATTTAAGATTTGTAGTTAATTTTTTAATAATTTAGTTTAAAGTTTATATTTAGAGTATTGCATGTATGTATAGTAAAGTTGAGTATGGAATATATTTTTTTTTAAGAAAGGGGAATTGGGTAAAGATAAGATCTAAAAATAAAGTTTAGTGTTTTAGATTTTAAAATAAGATATGATGTTTAGATTTATGATTTAGGGTATAGGGTTCAGGTTTACAGTTTAGGGTTTGGTATATAGTATTTGGGGTTTAAATAATGATTTGAAATTAAATTGTGAATTTAAATTTACGATTTAAGTTAACTTATGAAAAATTATAGAGTTTCAAGGTTTATATTTAGGGGTTGGGGTTTAAAAGCATTTTAGGGTTTAGGGTTTCAAGCATGTACAAAAAACGTGGCAAACCATAGCATTTTGTTGCTATTTTATAAAGATTTTAAAAAGATTTCGTAGCTAAATCGTAGCAAGAAGATATTCGTTATAATTTTTTTTGCCCTTCAATCTTTGATAATTTGTTTTGTAAATATTTTTTCTTAATTATATCTTACTTCAAAGTTTATATTTTTTACTTTGTAATTTACATTTAAAGTTTTATTTTTGAACATAAAAAATTGATATTTAAGTTTGGAAATATCAGATTAATATCAAGATTATCATTTTGGTCATCATTTCAAAAATTTGTATGTTTACACAGAATGTATAGTTTATGTTTGAAGTTATGATTTAGGATATAGAGATTGATTAAAGATTAAGGATATGTATTTAGGAAATTATAGTTTAAGATTAAAAAGATTAAATTTAAGATTTGAAGTTATAATGTGAAAAGACTAGAGTTTTAAGAGTTGTGTTTAGAGTTTAGGGTTTAAAACCATGTTTAAGGTTTAGGGGTTCAAATAGCTTTTCTTAGCATTATAAAAATGCTATTATAAGTCTTTCATATTTTTATTAAAGCCGCTTAAATAATATTTTTGGCGCTTAAATCTAAATTCCCGCTAAGTATTGGCGAAACTGGTGATTTTATTTTCCCGCTTTCCTAATTTTCAAAATAACATTAATTAAGTGCTATTTTAAAATTTTCTATATCATAGCGTTTATCTAATGCTATTATATAATACGAAATTTTTTAAATCAACTACGATAACAGTCAGTAAAACGTGCTATAACAATGTGCTATCAATGATGACTATTTTTGTAGTGCCGATTGCCCAAGATATGTGAAAAATCGCAAAAACCGCATCCGCCATAATCACGAGCAGGTTCGATCGAACCAGCTCGCCGTGCGCCGAGCTGAATCAACCGGTTCAGCTCGCCGTACGGAGAGCTTAGGCGTCCTGGACCAGCTCGCCGTACGGCGTCCTGGACCAGCTCGCCGTACGGCGAGCTGGTGGCCACGAACCAGTTCGCCGTAGGCGGTTCCGTTCGCCGTACGGCGAGCTGATAGTCTCACAACAGCTCGCTGTACGTCGAGCTGACCGTCCTTAGCCTTTCTCCCCCGCATCCTCAACGTAAGGCATACGTCTTTTGATTCGATCGTGCTGTGAACCATTGTTGAAACGTCTCTCGTTTCATCTCGATCCGTCTTACCATTCGAGTTTTACGATAAAAATCGTAAAAGTCTTCTTTTCTCGTAAGAATTCGGGAAGATCATATAAAACGGCAACGGTTAGACGGAACATCGTACATTGTCAAACTATAAGGATAACTTGAGAAATCTTATAAAAATGGCATCGTATCAGGAAACGATCTCGTCTAAAATCGTAAAACGGTTTTTATCGCAAAACGGCTCGGAAAGTCCTAAAACGCGATAAAAGCCTATCCACGGTTTTAGACGAATTCCAGCCAAAAGATACAATGACGGTTTGAAGATTTACTTGCAGCAAGAAGATAAATGTCAAGTTTGAAGATAAATGTCAAGTTTGAAGATAAATAAAAGATTTCCGCAGAAAAATGGAAAGGTCGAGATTAATGGAAGATTTCTGATAAACTCGAATCTGGGCGAAAAGGAATGACTAAACCGCCTAAGAAGGGAGTATATAAGCAGAAGGCCAGGGACAGAAGAAGAGGATGACTTTCAAAGCTCTCACCACCAAACTTAGCACTAGGAAACTTTCCATTTTTTGTTATCGAGCTGCGTCTCAACTAGCACTACAAGAAAACAGCGATATTCCGAGGGTCATTTTCCTCGGAATGTCGTCGGAATAGACGTATTCCGAGGAAAATGGTCGTCAGAATTATTTCGCCGGAAAATAATATTTCGTCAGAGACACCGGCGGAATTCTGAGGACTTCCAATGGACCAATAATCCGACGAAATTTCGAGGGAGGTTTTTCCATCGGATTATCCCTACAAATTCTTCGTCGACATAATCGTCGGAAGATGTCCGACGGAAAGTTCGTCAGAATATTCCGACGGATGGTTCCTCAGGATATTCCGATGGACATTGCCGTCGGAATGTCCATCGGAATATACCGAGGAACCATCCGTCGGAATATTCCGAGGAAACGTTCGTCGGAATATTCCGAGGGATGTTCTTCCTCGGAAATTCTTATTTTTTAAAAAAAAATAAGAATAAATAATAATTAATTATTTTTAAAAAATATTTATATAATAATTATTTCAAAATATAAAACAAAAATTGAAATAAAAAAATATATTATAATATTTTAAGTTTTAAAAGTAGAAATACAAAGTTTTTAAAAACAAATAAAAAACTGACTAGAACTCCTGCGGGAACAGAAGTCGCATCATATCCAACAACTCTTGGTTCTTCTTCTTCGTTTCCTCCACTTCATTTTGCTGATCTGCCATCCTAGCAAGTAGGGTCTCGTTCTGGGTAAGAATTGTGGCATTCTGGTTCTCCAATGCTACGATGCGGTCATCCTTGTTTTGTAGCTGCTCCATAATTGCCGGATCAACAAAAACCGGTTCTGAAGTAGAAGGAACTGACTTGGAGCGACGAGCCAACCCGAACAAACGGCCTTTCTTTTTAGGAACCGCCTAAAAAAAACATTAAATTAAAACAGTGACAAAACACTAAATTAAAAAAAAATTAAATTAAAATAAAGATCTTACCGACTCAACTAGTTCGTTGATTCGAACTCGAGAAAGCCTGGGGGAAGCTGCAGTAGTGCCTTCATCGTCAGACTGAAGCTGAGAGAGGCGTTGGATCTCTTCCTCCTTCTAGGTTTCGACCAAGTCGATCACCTCCCTCACAACGGCATCCGAAATCTCTTCGGTCGACTTGTCGGTATACGCCTCCTTCATTAGCACGAGGGAGTCAACCAGCTCACCATCATTCTGTTCCGCCTGGAAAAAAAAATTTGTTAATAAAAAGCATTAAAAATTGAAATTAAAATTTAAAAATTGAAATTAAAATTTAAAAATTAAAATTAAAATTTAAAAAATGAAATAGGTAAAGAAAATCAGTCGACCTACTAGCTTATCCCCAAGAGTTGACATACTGCAAGCACCCAAGTTGTTCTTGTACCGACCCTTCCCGCCACGGTCGCTGTTGCGGTTGCTGGAATTGGTGTCAGAGGTTCCTTGCGTCTCTGTCTTCCCCCAATGTTCTTGCAACTCGAGCCACACTGTGTCATTGATCAATTTCGGTTTTTTTGCCCTTCTTCCACTTTTGCTTCCATTCATAAACCTGCTTCCCGTAATTCTCCATGACTTTATGGGTGAAGGCATTTTCGATAAAGGCCGTATGGAGGGGATTCAAGTTGAACTCTTTCTGAAAAAAAAACACAATTAGTAGAAATTTAAGTCAAAGATTAAAAATATAACTTTAAAAATTGTAAAATACAGACCACAAACTGACGGAACCACATCTCCTGATCCTCTCGGGAGAAGGAGGTGTAGGTAGGATAACCCTTTTTGAGCGCCGAGTACATCATCTAATTGATGAAGGAACTTATCACTTTCTGCGATCGATCAAACCTAAAAAGAAAAAATTAAGAATCAAGCAACATATAATGAAAAAAAACAAAACTTTTAAAATTTTTTTTACCATGTTTGGTGTGGGCCCGATGGATGCAGAGTGAGAATGAGAAGATGCTCTCGATCAGGCTGTTGAACCAATTGTTCAACAGTCATGGTACCCGGAATGACCGGAGGAGCTGGAGCTGGAAAATCCCCGACATATTGGTTCTCCGAAGATGTAGAACCACGAGAGGTGCCCATCGAACCACCACGAGAACCACCCGGAGAAACACCTCGACCTCGTGGTGTGTGGCGGCGAGGTCTCGCCTGGCTATCGCTACCCGACCTGCAAAATTTTTTAAAAATTAATTTATTTTAAATAAAATAAAAAAAGAAATAAAATATCTTTTACAAATAGTTTAATAAATCTAAAAATAGTTTTACTAAATATAAAAATATTTTATAAATCAAGAAAAGTTTTAATAAATACAAAAATAGTTTTAATAAATACAAAAATAGTTTTAATAAATAAAAAAATAGTTTTAATAAATAAATATTATAAATCCAAAAAATATTTTTAATAATTACAAAAATAGTTTTAATAAATCCAGAAAAGTTTTAATAAATTCAAAAATAGTTTTAATAAATAAAAAAATAGTTTTAATAAATACAAAAATAGTTTTAATAATTACGAAAATAGTTTTAATAAATACAAAAATAGTTTTAATAAATAAAAAAATAGTTTTAATAAATTTTAAAATAGTTTTAATAAATCCGAAAATAATTTTAATAAATCCGAAAAATAATTTTAATTAATCCGAAATAAGTTTAATAAATCTGAAAATAGTTTTAATAAATCCGAAAATAGTTTTACTAAATCCGAAAATAGGTTTCCTACATATAAAAATCTTATATAAATCCAAAAAAAAAAACCTTTAGAAAAATTTACAAATCAATTCAATACATCAAATTATCCTAACAATATCATAATCCTAACCTATCAAACTCGTAATCTACCAATCACCCTAACTCATAATCTATCAACACACATTCAAATCACCAAATCTATTACAAAACCTAATCAAAATGAACCTAAGTAAAGGGGATAGGATTCTTACATCTTTGAGGACGAATCTGGTGAGATTTTGAGGACAAATCGCCGGAGATTATCGGGAGGGAGGAGAGAGAGAGCGTCGGCAATGGTTCTTCTAACCTATCCGATATCTGGGGTTCGCTAGTACTACCATATTCATAATCAGTTTCCCCGTTATGATACCAAATTTTGTAACTTCATGTAAACCCGTTCAAATATAGATGAGTCCAAACATCCCACTCTTTTATAACCTTTCTATTTTTACAAGTAGAGCAAGGACATCTTAACATACCCGTTTTTGCTTCCAGTTGTCGTTGAACTACCGCCATGAATTCCCTAATGCCTTTAAGGTATTCTTCCGTAAGTAATTTCGTGTCGGGATCCAAATGAGGTCGATCCATCCACGAACGATAATAATATGAAGAAGACATGTTTTTGTGAACCAGATTCGTGTGTATAAGTGAGAGGATGAGAATATTGAGTGAATGAAAGGAGAGGAGGAGTGCTTGTATTTATAGATGAAATGCTGCCGACGATTCCGACGAAATTCCGACGGAAATTTAGTATTCCGTCGGAATTTCGTCGGAATATACAACAGTTAAAAATATCCGTCGGAATTTCGTCGGAATATACAACGGTCATAAATATCCCTCGGAATTCCGTCGGAATATTCCGATGAAATTCCGAGGGAAATGCGAAATCCTCGGAATTTTCGAACTTTTCTAACGGCTCGTCAACGGCTATAATAAATCCTCGGAATGTCCTCGGTATATCCCGACGAAATGTGTGTTCCTCGGAATATTCCGACGGAATTCCGAGGAAACGTAAAATTTGTGTTTCATCGGAATTCCATCGGAATTCCATCAGAATTTTCCGAGGAACTTGATGGCCGTCTGAATGTTTCTCAGAATTTGTGGGTGAATTTCGGTTCCCACAATGTCTCCCTCCACACCGATGTCTTGTACCAATGACCCCACAGTGTATCCGTGGACACGCCAAGACCGTTAGCTGCTAGTATAGCATGTCCACAAGGTATTTTGATATTATCAAAATAATTATAACTACACTTCCTTTCAGCTAGCATTACCTTGCGAGACCTCCCAAATATTTTCAAAATTTGATAAGTCCACTCATTGACAGAATTAATGTAACTTTCATTAACAGTTGCCATATTATTTGTCATCTCTTTGTCCACTTCTATACTGACAGCGCCACTATGTTTTTCCGCCTTCCTCCTACGCGCACTAAACCATCTTGTCATCATTTTCTGAATGAACTTTATCAACTCAAGAATGTTGGCTCCCCTCTCTTCCCATAGCGCATTATTCAGCTGCTCAGCAATATTACTAGTCATGATGTTATATCTCTCACCCGTGAAATTTGCTCTTGACCAACGAGCTGTACCAATTTTACCAAGATACACCCCACAAGCACTATTAGTGGCCGTGATCTTCCCATAAAGTTCCTTGTACTCCGTGGCATGTGCGTCATGGCTGTCTTTGTGACCAACTCTGCTAAGTGCTTACTTGAAAACGTTGAATCTACATTTCTTGCCAAATGTACTATACAAGCTCCATGCTTGGCTTGAGGATAAATCTTACTCACAGCATTGGAAATACACACCGCCCTGTCAGATATTATGACAAGAGTTGGGGAATCTCCTAAAATCCTCTCTACTTTTTGTAAAAACCACGTCCACGCATCCTCGTCCTCAGCGTCCACAACTGCAAAAGCGTGAGGGAGATCTGGAAATTAGCATCATGCCTACTACCTGTCAAGAGAACTCCTTTGTACTTGCCGCTTAGATGTGTACAAGTAAAGGAAACATTCATCTCCATCATCGTCTAGATCCGTCTCCAAATCAGCAATTGTACCAGGATTTGCCAATTTAAGCATGTGCAGATACTCTGGGAGCTTCAGATATGCCTCCTCATCAGAACCACGCACCCAAAGTATCGCTTTCTCCTTAGCCCTTTAGCACGTCATATACGAAGCATTCACACAAAGGTCTTCCAAAATAAGTTTCTGCAAATCACGCACCACATGAGCCTTCCCTGGGTTCCCGAAGCTTTGTACACGGCCGCAATGACACGAGATGTTGCTCTACTCTTGTAGCCTTGTTTGTATTCAATGGGGCAGAGATGATCTAGCTGAGCCTTCCTTATCTCATAGTAACCACACCCTCGAATCTCATGAGCCGTTACCCGCCAATCACACCTCTTATCGGGACACTCCACAATAAAAGAATCAACCTTCGTCCTAGTCTGCGTGAACTTAAACTGCTTTTTTATTGCATAAATTGCCAAAGCAATTTTGACAATCTTCCTTGCTGCTAAAAGCTTTCCCAACAGCTATTTCACCGTCATGTTCGTCCACATCCATGTCGGGGATTTCAGACACATCATATTCAGTGTCATGAAACATTGGAGAAATATCAAATTCCTCTTCATCAACATCACCGAGTTTACGCGCTTGTCGACTGATATCACTCAAATTACCCTAAGGAGTGAATTACTCTCTCAAATAAGAGGTTCAGTTGTAGTACCCACAAGGAGCTTAGGAACCTAATAGATCTAATAGTTATATGATTAAGTTAGGCTAATAAGTATTAATGCAGTAAATAAATATAGTAAACTTAAAAGGAGTTAACAAGATGAACATGGTAATTGTTCAGCTTGGCAAGGATTTGTTTTATGGAAGTATGGTTGCTGGATCTAGGGTTTCTATTCAGGTAATCAGGATTATAATGCTATAGATTCCAAACAAGTTGCAAGCATGATATTAAAGAGCTTCAAATCTTAGATAAGTCTATTAGCTGTCGATATTGGACTCGTCCACTGAGTTGACTGCCGACAATATCGACCAATGGTATGATCGCCATATCGGACGATATTTGTTGCCGTCGATTGATTACTCTATAGGAGTATCGATCGATATAGCTTCAGATCAAGTTGAAATAGTTCCCACCAATATCATAGACCGGCTCTCGCGTATCCCTAGAGAATCTTAGCTTATACAGGATGATATCAGAATGATGAATTAATGCCATCATGTTCATGGTTCTAGTTCATGACTCTAGAATCAAGCATTAGGGTTCATCATGATAATGAATATCAAAACTTAGCAATCTATAGTTGGGGATAATCCCACAACCTATCTGAATCCTAAATCCAACAGGTGGATCTATTCAGACATGAAGATTGTCAAAGAAATCATAGATGAATAGATGAAGAACATAAATAATATAAAACCAAAACCAATGGAGTTCCATAAGGACTCTGATAGGAGTTCTTCCCTTCTCTCCTAACTAAGAACAATGAAACAAAAGATGAAAAAGAAAGCGTAGCCGTCAACAATGACTTGCAAATAACATAAATAGGGTTTCAAGTCGTCAAGGGTATTTTGGTAACTTTGTGGTATCTTCTGGGCTTCAGTCGGTCATGAAATATAGCCAGCCCACGTTCTGGAATTCATATCGATCGATGTGAAGTGTCTCCCATCGATCGACATGCACATATCTTCTCGGCAGCTTTCTCTCGCGAGGCAGACTGACCACTCTTCAGTAAAACGGGCATAAAGTTTGATCTAACCGTTGCATTGACCTTAAACTGATGGCATTGGAAAGCTAACTCAAAGCTCTATCTTGTGTTAAAGAATGGGCTCAATCGCACCGGAAGATCTCCATCCATATCTAAACATCTGACGTGTCTGCGCAATTCTGCACTTAAAGGCTCCAAAAGACACCAAAATCACCACGTTACTCCATATCGTACCTGAACCTGTAAATACTCTAAATAGCCTCTATATTGTAGTAAATATATATGAAAACATCAATAGACCATGGCTAAAAATGGGTAAAATCCATGGTCGATCAAGTCCCCCAGACATACCCTTTGTGGGAACCGAAATTCACACTTGTCGATTTCCGTTAAATAAGGAAACTTAGGAAAACCCTAATTTTCCAGAGGAACCGGATCTCTGTGAAAGCCAACAACAAGTAACCAAATAAATGCGGAAAAATATGAAAAACGTAATAAAACGAATTTAAAGAAAAAGTAGATCTTATTTCGATTTCGCGTAAGGGCGTTGTGATCATTACAAGGGTTTAAAAAGGCTTTGGCCGCAGGGCCGTCAGCGAGTTATCAACATAAAAACCTTAAATCTAATCGAGTTGCAGCTCGAGAACAAAAGACGGAAAAAGATAAGAAAAAGATAAGAAAAAGGATTTGATTGATTTCAGAGTAAACCTTATG